GACTGGTGTTATTATTGACACTAGCGTCGAGCTGGTCCGAGGAAATCCTTAAGTAACCCTCTTTCACGTCTTTGGAGGGCGTGCGACGTTTTGTTAGATTTCTATATCTTGTTTGCATCCTATCTTATGTACATTCCATATTACGTATCTTGTTTATTTTTTGTCCCGTAACAGCTGTGGCCTGGAGCACAAAAGACATTTACAAATTTCAATCTACCAGCCTGCACAAAACAGATGTCTGAGGTCTGGCTTTTTGTTGAGCGTGTTATTTGAGTAGCCTCGGTTCCTTTCATTCGCACCTTCGCACATTTGACATTTGACCTTTGCACCTTCGACTTTCGTAACTTTGTAACCTCGAACCTTCGATAATTTGTCTTCATCGAAATCGACTCGACCTCTGCAGCTTAACAGCTTCGAAAATCTGCCAATAAGTAGATTCATAACAAATCTACAGATCTAGAGATCTTGTGCACGATCTGTCTATCGTTTTGTAATCTGGAGAGTAGAGAGAAAATAATGGGTAGATGATCTATCTGAGTATATGATTGAACGAGAACTAGTGAGGCCTGGCAAGGTCTAAAAGTAGCTGCGTGGCAGGCATCAGTGGAGATATAGCACTCGCACCTTTGTACTTGACCTTTTGACATCTTGATCTTTTGACATCTTGACCTTCTGACATCTCCGAATATTGATTTATTGAACTCTCGACACATTGACAGAAGGTACTGAGTAGCTTGAACACCTACCCCATCTGAGACAGGAGAAAGCTGGTTCAAATCTAGTAAAATCTACACACCACTCTCTCTCGCGGTGATATTATACTTGTGGGATGATGAAAGCACACTCGGATAGCCACAGGGTTTTCACGCTTTTCCCTGTGGTGGGTATGCACAGAAGAGGTTATACGCCGTAAGGGTTAACATAGAGTGGTATCTGCAAATAAAATCTGAGTGTGAGTGTTCTTAATGTCAAATTGAGTCTTCCTACTAGGAGTATATATCTCCTGATAAAAACCTGCATGAGCCTCAAGGCGCCAAATTAGGATGATGAACTTGTTAAAGTTATGAGCTTGAGCGAAGATGGAGGTTGTAGCGGAATCAGTGTCAGCGGTTAGACCGATGCAGTAAGTCTCGTATGAGGTTGTGAGAGGAAGATCCGAGTGGAAACAATTGTATTTTGATGTATGGTTCAGAGTAAAACCGAGATGATAAGAGTGAGGTTGCGTGTTTGCATATCTTATCAACTGTGGTTTTTGACCAGTATTTATCAATCTCCATGGATCGTAAGTTATGATCCATGTAGATGTAGATCTATGTACATACACATATATGGGCCAGGAATATAAAGCTAAATACATGTGTGTTGGTAATAGGTACGAGAAAACTATAACCTGCATTTGAGGCATAGTCATCTGCTGGAATGCTAGTGTGAAATAAACGATAATGCGCATTAAACTTTCGGTGAAGGATGTACTGATTACAGTGATGTAGAATGGGGAATTTGATAGTCAAATTAGCCGGACTTACTAATAAGTTATTCTTGGCATTCCAAGATATATCATATTTCAATAGAACTATGTATATATACTACAGCTAAGTGAAGTACATGGAGGGCAAGACTGAACACCTGTACGCGGTGTCCTCTATGAACCTGGGAGTGAAATATTCTCCCAGAGCTAAGTTCAGTCAAATTTCGCATTACCCAACAAGTTGGCCCACAAGGCAATGATTCAAAATACTCCACCATATCAATCTTTCACTCCCAACAAAATTGATTCCTACCTAAACCTCATCAAGTTTACAAGTACGACCTAGTACATCCTCATCCCAATGACCAAACCTCTTGTCGACTTTCTCTGGCCTTAGCTGGTCGCCAGATACATGCCCACGCCGATATTTATACCCAATAAAGGAAGCAAAGCGTGGCGCACAAATCTGGAGGACTGTTTTTTGGGGATGGATGTGAGAGGGATCAGGACAAGTTAATAAGATGATGCAGAGGACTGGATATAGTCTCGACGGGTGTGGAATTTTGAATTTTGGAAAGGGGTTTTTACAAATTGAGCTTTGTGCGTGCCAAGTCTTCGGCTGCGAGAGTGCAGGCAACACTATAAAAACTGCCATGGTTGGATGGTGCGGTGGTACATTGTCTTGGCCGGTCTGCCAAGTAGAGTCTGGATAGCTTGGACACATATCCCACTCGAGACAGTAGATTGCTGGTTCAAATCCAGCAAAACACAACCACATTTCTCGCGGCACTGGTATACATGGATGACAAAGGCATGCTTGGATAACCAAAGGTTTTTAAATTCCCTTTGGTGGGTACTTACGGAGGAGGGTCCACTGTTTGTGTAAGCAAACATACCTCATAGTGGTATTTGCAAATGAAATCCAGAGTATGAGTGTCTCTAACGTCAAAAGAGTCATCCAACATGTAAATATAGTACCGGTCATGTGTCATAGCCAGATAGCTGAATACACATTAAATGATTTAAAAAAAATAAAAATAAAAAATAAGTGAAGTACATAATTCACTAGCTTATGCTAGATAATTGGGAGGCTGGTCAATATATGAGTCATCATGAACATCCTAGTAATATTCAAACTTTATTACGTTCTGTAAGCAGACGTAAGTTTATTGTATGGGGGTGCAGTTCATAGGCAAGATGCAGATCTATAACAGGGATATTGAACTTACTGATTGCGCATATGGGGGGCATTGAAGAAGGTACTAGAATAGCCTCATGTACTAGTTGGGGGTGACAAGGGATCACAGAGAGAGGTATTAAATCAGACTCTTGTTGTATTATAGAAGCATAATATAGTGAGTTCTTTTGATGATTAATTGCCTTCTCGATCTGGCTCAGTTCTATACAGTCACGTGGCCTTCGCATAATTTGCTGTGAATTCTTACACGTTCCATGTTAATGTGACTCTTCATTGCCAAGCAACGCCAATTTCAAAACAAGCCAGTCCCAGTAGTCACGCAACTAGTCAGCTACTATTATCTGAAAAGCCTAATGTCCTGAGATTGTAACCTCTAACCAAAGTGGAATCAATTCTTGCAAGTTTCCATAGGCAGGACCTAAATTGATGTGGATGATTGCAGAATTCTTGTGCTTGTGTAAGGATTCTCCTTCCCATTCTAACTTTAGTTTAAAATTTTACCTTTCTCCTGATGTTGCCATGACAACAGAACAGTTCTTGGCACTGGTTATTATGTTGGTACTAGTTTAGGGCCTGTGTTATGATGAGCTAGTGGGAGGAAAGCAAGTATATGTATGATGGCTTGGCCTGTAGCTATAGAGATCTTCACGCTTAGTTTTCTGTCACAACTGCCATCCTCGGATTACCTCGGATTACTTCTAGTCACCTCTTGTACCTTTAGTTACCATTAGTACCCCCTTGAACCTTTAGACCTTTTAGCTATTTATATTACCCACCTTTATAACTGTTGGTATAAATGTCATGGCCTCACTTTCCAATGTTAGTCATAGATTAGTCATCGTTCATTATGAGTATTAGTATTGTTTTGTAGAACAGGAGAATAGACAAGATCCACCAACACAACTGCAGAAACGTGATACACATTTTACGTTCTTTGCACCGTGTTTAAGTATCCCGACACTGATCAGTGAGCGCGCACAGATCAGGAAATAAGTAGAATTGGAAGGATATTGCTTCCCACCTTTAACTTCAATTTCAGCCGAAGAGGAGCAAGTGTCTATCCGGAAGCTTGATAGCGTATCTTATTGATTGATTATCGCCAACGGGTTTGATTCTTCTTTAGCAGAGTTAATAATATCGAATTGGAAGGATATTGTTTCCCACCTCTTAAGATATATCAACTCTTCAAAAGCGTAAATTCTAAAAATGACAGAACAAGATTGGAAGGCTTTAGAGGCCAAATGGGATGAAGGAATCGATCTCAGCACAGCAACTCCTCATGATATCAATTCCTACATAGAAACGAAGATTCATTTCTACGAAGAAGACAATACTACTAACTCAAATCTATGGGAACAGTACCAAGATGGCTTCGCAACATTCACAATAGCTGCTTTCAAAAGCCCTAAACTGAAACTAATTCAACGGCTACGAGACTGCCTCTTAAGTAGAGGAGTTTTCGTAGATTGCAAAACAAGTAGGCTCAATATTTCACAGGCACTTTACAATTGTGCAAAGGAAGAAGAACAGCATAAATGGTCTGACAGCGATGTAATCAATGCCGCTGAACAATTAGAAGAGCCTCTGAAATCAGTAAAGCTGAAACAACGTCTAGATGCAATCCAAGTAGATAATATAATCATGGAGGAATACAGCGACAATGGCAGCAAGTTCAAGACTGAAAAACCTTCCGACCTGCAAGTACCCCTACAACTGATTTTGCTCGATCCAAAAGTACCATCTTTACAAACCCCATAAAGAGTGCAGGCTCTCAGACCGACGTCACCAATACCTCCTCCTACTTACGTTGCGCAGATGTCGAACTTGATTAAGGTTTATTCTGGCGCAGCAAAATACAAAGGAGCTGGGGATAGTATAGATCACAAATTGACGAATTTTCACCACCTCTATGATCTCACTGGTGTACCCAGAGAGGCATATCCAAGAGCACTCTCAGTAATACTGTCAGGATTCGCAAAAGAGCACTACCTCGCAGCAAATCTGTCGTACTTAACTTTTGAGCAAGCAGTTGATCATCTTTGTAACTTCTTTGAAGGTCCTGGTTACAACCGAAGAAATCTAGGCAAATGGAACAAAACATCGTTAAAGTTGAATATGTCGCAAAACAAAGCTAAGTCAACATCCAAATATCTGCAAATCTTGGTCCAAACACTGAGAGAGATCCAGCATGGCCTAACAGAAGATCTCAGTACCAGCTCCTTTATACACAACAAAATTATTACTGCGTGCAAAGGCGTTCCAGCTTGCAGATATGCCATTGCAAACCTGCCACCAAAAGTTGGTGAACTCTTGAATCAACTACAGAACTCTATAATGGCCTATGAAGGAGAAGAGAAAAATGATCAATTCAATGTCAACCAAGATGCATTCTTCACAGACAGACAATATCATCAAACAGGTCAAGCACAAACCAGTAAAAATAACAGGCAAAGTAAGACATGTTATATATGTTATGAATTTGTTAGATTTAATCTGGATGTGGAGATGCAGGGGTAATCTTCTTAATTCGGTCAGGGCTGAGACCACAGGATTTAGATTTGTTCAGGCTGGACCTTTGGATTTGTTCTTTAGTTCTAACAACTTTTATGTTTATTGTATAATTTGCTTATTGGGAACTCAATATTTTAATAACATGATAATCTGAACATATGAATTCGTAACCTTTGATAATTCGAGCCTCGATTAATTTCATTTGTACCTTCGCACCTTCGACCCTCGTAACCTCGTAACTTCGTAGCCTCGCAACTTCGATAATTTGTCTTCGTCGAAATTGACTCGACCTCTGCAGCTTAACAGCTTCGAAAATCTGCCAATAAGTAGATTCATAACATATATGTGGCAAAGAAGAATGTCGTTCAGGGAAGCATACCAATGATGAACGCGAAGGATCTAAGGCAAAGTTTCGAACTTCACTTAAAGAAAAGTTAGGGTCTCGATTTGTTGACGGCAATTGCTTCAATAAACGATATAAACAATATATAGTTGACTGTGAAGGTGATGATGAATCCTACGCAGATAGCGACGAATTTGAAGACGCCTTTCAAGCTTTGGAGATTGAAATACAAGGTAATAACATCAATGCTCGAGAAATAGACGAAACAGACGTCTTCTTGACTTCATTCGGCAACATCAGTTGCACCATTTGCAAATAACAAGGACTTTTCCTCCCAAATTGGCTATGTAATCGTACTGGCAGACGCTACAAATCGAGCTAAAATAATCCATTGGTCTTCGGTCAAGTAAAAGAGAGTTACAAGAAGCGTTCTCGTATCAGAGTTGTATATCATGGTTCATGGTTTTGATGTTGGCACTGTAGTAAAGTCAACTATTGAACAGCTATTACGGACTATTATCCCTTTAATTGTATGCACCAATTCCAAATCTCTTTAAAATTGCCTTGTCAAACTTGGTTCAACATAAGAAAAGAGATTGATGGTCGACCTCATGTGTCTGCGTCAATCATATGAAAGACACGAAATTACCGAGGTTGTATGGATCGACGGCAATAGTAATCCAGCAGACACAATGACAAAAAGCAAACCTTCAACAGCTCTCCAACTTTTAATTGATACCAATAGACCTAATCTAAATACCATGGAATGGGTGAAGCGAACCAGTAACAAGTAACAAATAATGATAATTAAGATATTAAAATATATGATGTGAATTACAGTTTAAAGTACGGATTTCTGTATCATTTTATTTATATAGTTGCCAGTGTTGGTATAAATGTCCAGACCTCACTTTCTAATGTTACTCATAGATTAGTCATTGTTCATTATGAGTATTAGTTTCTTTTTGTAGAATAGGAGAATAGATAAGATCCACCAACACAACCGCAGAAACATGACATACAATTTACGTTCTTTGCACCGTGTTTAAGTATCCCGGTAACTAGTGTAACAGATGCAGGACTGTTAGAATTACAAGAGTTTTAGTCAGCTAGCGCACTTATATTGATTCTTTATATTCCATACATCACACAGCTGTTAGAATACGCTTCACAAATTGTTCAGGTTCTGCTTCTAGATGGCCTTTATTTACCAGGATTGATACTGTCATAGGCTACAGCCTAGCACAACCCAGGTATAAGCCCATGGTATCTGAATATTGAAGGATTAATATGAGATAGGGCTGAAGGATGATGGGAGACCCAGACATCCTGCATAATAATGGTTGAATGGTCGGATAGTTAAGTGGTGATAGAGCCAGCTCGAGCGGATTGTAGAGAAGCCGAGCAACTAGGCAGGGCAAGAGATATCCCCCACATCCTGCTCTTCATATTATTCACTTTACTTGCACGACTCGAAACCTTGGCATAAAGCTAGATCATTCATATAGTGGGTTCCCCTAGTTAATTTCCTCTCCAGTTTAAGATTCTCTATTGTACCTAGATCTAGATAGTTCGTGAATAACATCTATCTTACGACCCTTACAGATACGGGCTGCAAATCATCTTGCCATTGCAACAGTAGCGGATCATTGCTAGCACTTCGAAGTAAGTCAACTAGGAAACAAGGTCAGATTTTAGATGATACATCCAACTCAACAACGTGTGGCATGATAACTTTTGTTTCTATATTCTTTGCGTTCATCCAAGTTAGCTTCTTTTTTGGTCGTGGTGATTGGATATTCTTCGAGTTAAACCAAACTTTTTCCCCAAGGTGCTGTTGAAATATGATACATCTTGGAATCTCATGTCAAGGTGTCGAGAGTTCAATAAATCAATATTCGGAGATATCAAAAGGTCTGTCACAGTCTAAGCATAGGCACTTGAGCAACCTTATGGTCAGAGGTAGTTTATTTTCAATCTATGGTGAACTACAGATTGAAGAGGATAATAACAGTTACTTTATACATGATTATTATCCAGGCCAATGACACAGTTTTCTATCTGTATATCTGTATCCCATCTCGTATCCCATCTCGTATCCCATCTCGTATCCCATCTTGTATCCCTTCTTGTATCCCTTCTCGTGCCCTATTCTTAGAGGTGTTTGCCAAGTTCTAAGACCCTGCTTCCAAGAATAGTCCCTGCCTAGTTTCATGCTAAGCCTGCGTTTGACAGCGCAGGCTACAGGCAATCACCGGCTTACAAGCCGTCACAAGCTCTCCTCCAAAAAGTTTTAGGAAATAGATTGGGAGGTTCTTGTAAAATTATTTTTGTTTGTTTTTGCCATGGCGTTTTTGACGCCGTTTATCCAATATATGACCCTCTGCAGGGCCTACGAATCCTCTAGAGCTATCGTTTTCAGGACCATTATTTATCTCTATATTACCGTAAGTAGCCTCGAGCCTGTCGAGTGCTTGCGTTTCCCTAATGCTTTCAATCGGCTCCCAAGTTGGCTCGGCCCAGCCTGTCCACTTTACCAAAGCCTGACGAAAGTTTCCTCTACCGCGACGGATAGATCGCGCTCGTTGGATAGATTCCACTTCATATTCTGGACCTTCGAGGTCATTGATCAATGGTGGGTTTTGGGCGTCGTCTCTAACCTGGCTGGGCAGTGGATCATTACCTGCGTGCTTGACTAATTCGACATGGAAGCGCTTGTGTATCTTTCCAGGGACGTTCAATTCGACTGTCAGTGGGTCAGGTACTGCTGTGACTTCATATTTGGCATGAACCCAGGCCAACTTTTTTGATAGTTGAGGTGTTTTAATGTTCCGCAGGTCTAGCCACACTTTTGTCGCCCACCTTGAGCTGTTCTGGCTGCCGTCGATATTGATTCGCGTTTTCCTCGTTCCGTTGTTGCGCTGATGCCATTGCGGCTTGAGCAAAGTCCTGGGCATCCCGTAGTCTCTGCACGTATTCACCTGCCGCTCGGCGTCCAGGGTGTTTTGACAGTTCTTCCGTCGATGGGGTTGGTTCAGATATTGGGTCCAGATTGTAACCATGTCGTAAAAAGAATGGACTCATCCCTCCAATTGCTGAGTTTGGCCTCGAGTTTAACGCCAATTGTGCCAGTGGGAGGAGATCCACCCAATTATTCTGAGCGTAACACGTAAACACTCGAAGGTACTTGTACATCTCTTGATTCGCTCGCTCGCTTGCATTGGTCTGCGGGTGATAGGCCGTAGATAACCGCTGTGAAATACCAGTTAGCTTGCAGAAAGTACCCCAGAAATGGCCAACCCAATCACTACCCCGGTCGCTAGTCAGAAACCTCGGGAACCCATAGTACCGGTAATATCTATCAATGAATGTTGAAGCGCACAGTTTTGCGTCCATTGATTCGGTTCCGAACATGAAAGCGTCTTTACTCAAGCGATCAGTGATGACCATGACATTTCTGCAGCCGCGTGATTGTGGCAGGTCAGTGACGAAATCAATAGTCAGCTCACTCCCTATGCAATCGGGTATTGGTAAAGACCGAAGAAACCCAGCTTTTGCCTCTCGCCACACTGTGGTCCGTCCGCAGGTATCACAATTCCGGATAAACTTCCGCACTGAATCCCTAATTTTCGGCCAAAACCATCGTCGTAATATTATGCCAACCATGGTATCTTTTCCTGGATGGCCAGCCAAATGGCTGTCATGCGAACGTTGCATGATTGCTGTTCGGAGTGGCTCGTAATCAGGCACCCAGATCCTATTTTCTCGGCCCCGGAGAATATTATCCGCGGCTACCGTGCACTTGCCAATATTAGCTTTCATCTTCTGCGCTAAGTCTGGGGGAAATCCACGCTCCCCGTCGCGCACAGAATCACGTGCACGGCGCCAATCCTCGTCACTTTGTACCCCTCTTTTCCACAGTGTCTGCAGTTGATCTTCGTCAAATAATACCACCTTAGTAGCTGGATCTAGTTTCTCTTCACTAAGCTCGATGTTAACTGGATTTATAGGTCGGCGTGGCAACAATTGCATTATTCGCCCCGCAGTTCTCTCATCGCTCAATCCGGTCGGCTTATCTTGATCCCGACGTGACAGGGCATCTGGTCGCTTGCAGGTATTTCCCGGCCGCCATTCCAGCACGTACTGAAATTGCTGCAAGATGTCATTGCATCGTACCTGTCGCTCATTGAGAAGACGCTTTGATGCGAAATAACTCAGATATTTATGGTCGCTCCAGATTTTAAACGGCTTTGCAACTGACTTCAATTCTGCCTGCCATTCCTGCAAACATGCTACTATAGAGAGCATTTCTTTGTCATGAATTGGGTAATTCGCCTCCGCACTTGTTAACCGTCTCGAATAGTACGCTACTGGCCGCAATCTACCCTGTTTGTCTACCTGGGATAGACAGCCTCCCATAGCATAACCTGAGCAGTCAGCTTCAAGCACCGTATCGCGATCTGGATCCCACTGTGCTAGAACTGGTTGGGATGCGAAAATTCTTTTCAATTGTTTGAAAGCCTCGTTTTCTGCATCACCCCATTGCCATATTGAATCCTTTTTGGTTAGAGCAGTAAGTGGTGCCGCAATCTCTGAGAACCCATCCACAAAACACCGGTAAAAATTTGCGAACCCTAGGAACGACCGAACACCTTTTACAGTGGATGGTGGGTCCCATTCCAGAATGACTTTGACTTTGACTGGATCCACCTTTATTCCATCACCTGCACGAATTATAAACCCTAGGTATTTGACCTCTTTACACAGAAACTCGCATTTGCTAATGTCTAAGTATAGTCCTGCCTTACTCAGCTTGCGAAGAATACTTCGTACCGTGTTCCAATGTTCATCTTCACTACCGCTAGTGTAAGCAAGTACATCATCCATATATGCTGTCGCATTGAGATCCAAGTGTTCACAAAGTTGCTCGTTGATGTACCTCTGAAAGGTAGCGGGCGCGTTTATTAATCCGAAGGGTGTTACAAGCCATTCAAAAAGTCCCAGCCTGCATCGAAATGCTGTCAGCCATTCGTCTCCTTCCCTTATTCGAAGTCGATGAAATGCCGACTTGACATCCAGCTTCGTAAACCATCTTGCCTTTGATAGTTGCCGGAGAGTTTCCTTGAACAAGGGTAGAGGGTATCGATCTGGCGTGGTTATTGCGTTTAATCCTCTATAGTTGACACACAATCTCAAACCTCCATTTGGCTTTTTTGCAAAGAGTACTGGTGCTGCTGCCGCTGAGTTACTCGGACGAATCCATCCCTTCTGTAACAATTCCGTTAACGTTTTCCGTAGAACGAGCAGTTCCTCCCGAGA